GGTCCTGCAGAAGTGACAGGAGAGGTGGGTCCTGCAGAAGCTGCGGCAGCATGCAAATAAATCATGACATCTTCTCCCTGAGTGTTGAGAAAGGACAGTGGTGAGGGGACAACTGCCCCAGCCAGGGATGCTGCATTAAACATCCCTTTGTGTTGCTGTTGCCCCCATGGAGCCAAATCCCTTCCAAGGGGAGAAATGCTGCCGTGGTCCAATTGCATGGATGCACCTGCAAACACCCCAAGAAGCCCACGGTGTGTTCAACAGAGCAGCTACCCAGCGGTGCTCAGAATTAGTCGCATTTAACCCACATGCGAAACGCTGGCAGAGGCTAGGCAAATGAAGGCAGGGTGGCAAAACCCATCAATGCCACCAACGGGCGCTGGCTTTCTGCTCACAGGTTTTATCCACATCAGCAAAGGTCAGAGCTGGCTGAAACTCCTTCTCATGCTCTGTGGCTACTTCAAGAGAAACATGGGGAAGGCAGTCCGGAGCAGGAGGACATCAGCCAGGTTATGCAGGGAGGACTCAGAGAGCTCCACCTTTCCCAAACCTTGCATCATCTCTGCGACCACAAGCTGAGGCTTCTCCTTGCTCGTAGATGTGCAAACACAGTCAGGATTGCAAGGTTTTGTTCCCAACCCTTGAACGGATCAGAAATTAGTCACAACCCGAACAACTGGACCATGACAGGGCTGCAAACCCTGTTAAGAAGCTGTAAGGAAGGTGGCCCAGCTGTAGAGAAAGACTACAAAGGTGCTGAGCTACCTGGGGGTAAGGGGAGCAAATGCAATCATCAGTGAGGGTTCATGGAAACTTTGGTATGGGCATGGCAGGGCCTCAGCTCTGCACACACTGGGAAGGACCGCGTCCCTGCTGGCTCCCCAGCCGTGGTGGGATGGGGACCCACATGCTCAGGGCTGCAGCAGAGGTGATGGTGGGACACATTGGATGTCCCCGGGGACCATCCCCTGCAGACCCTGGGAGCAGCCCCCCCGCAAAAAACCCTTCGCAGAAAGCCCAGCCCTGCTCTGCAAACTCAGTGTCGCAAGTGATGAAAGGTCCCACGGTGCTGTGCCAGCTCTGCCCCCAAATCAACCCCGTCTTCACGGCTCGGGGTGGAAACGGGGTGATTCCTGCAGAGGCAAACGGACGCAGGGAGGAGGAGCGGGGCGAGGGAGGCGATGCCACCGACCGCGAAACGTTGGCTTCTGATCTGTGGCTGCTGATCCAATTAAAAGGGTTAATCCCCAGAGATGCCCCCGCGGGGAAAGCAGCCTCTAAGAGGTCCCCCGCAGGGAGGTATGGTCATTAGGGCAAGCTCCTGGGACGGACGGGTCTGGCGTATCACTGACACGATTGCAGGAGATTACCCACCGCTTGCAGCCCCGTCCAGCCCCACAGCAAGTCCCTCTGTCCCTCCTCGGCCACACGTCCCCAGGCAGTGCGATGTGCGGAGGTTGGTCGCCGGCCCACATGGCCCCTGTGCATGTCCCCAGCGCTCCTCTGGGATTTTTTTTTACATTCCTGGGAGAAATGAAGGTCTCCGACACTGGCCAGCATTCAGGGTAAACCAAGCTAAAGCTGATGTTTTCTTCCTCCCATGCCACTGCAGGGAAGGAAAAGCCAGAGGGACCAAAATGTTATGGCTGGAGAAGGATGGATGGGGAAGGATGGATGAATGGAGGGATGGATAAATGAGTGGGTGGATGCATGGACGGATGGATGGTGAAGGGTGAGGAACCCACCTAAGAAACCCATGGTTGCAGCTCCGCCATCTGAAGGGAGAGCGGAGCCCACCCCTCCTGTCCCTGTTGGCTCAGGGATCGCTTCAGATGGGCAAAAGCTCTTCCAGCCTCACCGCAGAGAGCAGAGGGGAGGCTTTTGTGTCTCCTTGGGTGGAGATGAGCTGTTCTGTGCCATCTGTGGCTGTGTCCCTTGGACAGCAGACACCGGCGCTGCTCCAGGACCAGTGCAAGGCGAGATGCCTCCGGGCTTATTCCTCCAACCAAACCAGCAAAAATTCATGTCTTGGTTTTCTCTGCCAGGAGCCAGCAGCCGAGATACAGTGCTTGGCTCCTGCCTAGCTGGAGCTCGCCCCTTTGGTCTGTGTTGCTGCAGCGAGCGAGGGGGGAACAGCAGCCAAGGTGAAAATGTTTTACTGTTCAATATAAAATTTATGGGGTGCCTTTTATGACAGCGTCCCAAAGCAGGGCTGCAGTAAAGGGATAACTAAAAGGCAGCAGAAAGCCTGACTCGCAACAACAGAGAGCTGGCAGTGGCGTAACGGCTGATGGCAGGGAAGAAGCTGACACCAGAGAAGATGAGATGCTGCTCAGAGGCAGCCAGGGCCAGTGGGTGCAATGGGTCTGGGAGATAAAAGAAGTTATGGGAGGATGGGACAGTCACATCATGCAAATGGCATCTTTGGAGACTTCCACATCTTACTTTTGTGGTGGGTATGCTCAGCACCAAACCCTCTTTGCTAGGACCAACTCCAGTGCAAGGACAATGGCGGCAGCAGGAGCAGTCCACCTCGGAGCATCTGCACCAGGGCAATGCCACCCGTGTTTCCCAGGAAAGGACCAGGTGGCAGCATCATGTCTTGTTGGGAAGCTCCTTGGGATGAGAGCACTTCTCCATCTCCGTCTTGCATCTCCATGAAACCTCTCTCCAAAGAAACTCCCTCTTGCCCATCACTGTCAATCTCCAAATCGCCCTGCCCAAGGTAAAGCTCAGCCAGGGGTCCAGGGCGATGCAGCACTGACAGGGCTGATGCAGCTCAGCAGTTACTTCAAACACGCTTTTTAGAAGAAATCTAATGCACCAGGATCTGGGTAGAGATTACTCAGTGAGGGACGGCAGCCAAGACCATCCACCACCCTCCTGGAGATGGTAGAGCTCTGTGTGCATGGCACTCAGATGATTTGCACTCTCCTGCCTGTGTCTGGGCTCAGTATAACCTATATGGGCTCAGTATAACCTATATTAGGCTCAGTAACCTATAGATACCGGCAGGAAGCCTCACCTGGGCCAGGCGGTGCAGGGTTTGTGCTGGTTTTCTCCAGACCATCCTTAGGAATCCAGCGAGGCAGCTTCATTGCAAACGCCTGCCGCTTCTGGTAAACGAGCGTAAATTGGGCCTCAGCTCTGCTTCAATTAGAGCGTGCAAGAGCGAGTTAATTAGACTGACGAGTGAGGGGTCAGGCTCTGCCTGGGGACTGGCAGCATCCTCCCTGCCAGCATGCAGCTATAGTCATGCAGGCGGCCGTGGGGCGAGCAGGTGGCTTCTCCCCCTCTCCCTTTGCCCCACACCATGGGGGACACCCCCAATTCCCAAAGCATCACTGGGATTTTTTTCCTGGTTACATTTAACCAGATCGGCCCTGTCGCCTGGATCATTGCACGGCTCCGGTGAGCCGTGCCGGGTCGGTGCCCACCAGCCGCTCCGATTATCCCCGGTTGCTCCTCGCTGCAGGTCCGCCGGAGCTGCGGACGCTTTGCTCTCTGGCTTCTCTGTCCTTTGGCCGTGCACAGACCTGGTTTCCATCCACATACTGAGCGCGTGGCAGCAACTGCTGTTTTTTGGGAGCATAACGAAGAGAGAAGGGGAAGGCACGGCCGTCCCCGGGGTGGGAGCTGCTCGCATTGATCCTTTTATAGCCCCATGTGAGCAGTTGCCTGTCCAAGAGAGAGCACCTGCACTCACTTAGCAGCTTGCTTGGGCGCCCATCCAGCACGCCAGGACCTCCCGTTTCCTGGCCCGGCTTTGCCCCCAGCCTTCGCATGACCCCCCCCGCACCCACTGCCAGCCCCGAGCTCTGTTTTCAGCCCCAAACCGGCTGCGGACCGTAAGCAAGTGGGACGGGACGATCCCCTGATGATGAGCAAAGCATCCGTTGGATGCTCTCTGCGTGCCTCAATCCCGCATCCCAACCCTGAAGATGTTCGTGGAGTGAGTGCAAGGGGATCAGAACCCACCAGGACGGGCGTCCCAACAGAGCCCCCCCGAGTCGGAACACAGACCCTACGGGGAAAGGAGAGCCAGCACAGGAGGCTGAATCAAGAAGACGCTTTAATCAGATTTATCGGACAGATCTGGATCTCCAAATAAATAGATTTATCAAAACAGAATAAAACAAGAAACCAGGGATAAATACATGTACCAAAACAACCTGAAAATCCCCCAAAGCTATTTCCAGACAGGGGGAGGGTGATGCTGCTGCACACCCTCCTCCCCACGCTGCAGAAATGGTCCTGTTCACCCTTTGGGAGATGCCCCTCCTGTGAATACAGCCCAGTAGATATTATGTAGGATATATATAAATATATAGCATAATAACATGCTTAGTAGCGACCTTAGTGCAGTGTTCGGGGTCTCAGACCCTGTCAGCAGGTGGGTCCTCCCAAAAACTACATCTTCAAGTGACCTGCAAAGAAGGGAAAAGAATCCTCCCAGCTGAAACAGAGGAGAAAAGTCCCAAGATTTTTCAACAAATGCCCTTTGGAGGGTATTCAGCCAAAGAAACCCTTTGCAGATCACAGGGGCTCCAAGAAAAGAAATAAGGACGATTTTTCTCTCCTTGCAGGTCATCTTTATGCCAGCGGTTAGTAAAAAGCACGGTCACGTTCTGCTTTACTGCTAGCTCCTGATGCTCTTCAGAAATGCCGGGGTGTCAGGGATGTATCCCACCTCTTCACATCACACCAGGTCTCACATCTCCACGGTCTTTCTCTCCTCCCTCTGCACACCCAAAACGTCTTCGGTAGCAGGAGACGACGGCCGGCCTCTTGCACTCTCCCACTGGAGAGAGGCACCTCCACAGCTGTGGCTTCAACACGGTTCAATTTGGTTCATTTGCTGGAGTTTCTGTAATTTACACTAGTGTATCCTTTATTGCTGTGCCAGTCTATTTAATAATGCAACTTTTTTCATATATATGTGTATGTGTGTATGTGTGTGTGTGTGTAGATAAATCAATAGCTAGGTTAAAGTTTTTTCTTTACAAGTTCTTTGTTTCTTTCTCTGGGCTCTCTGTCATCCTCAGCTCTGATGTCTGGGCTCGGAAGATGTTCCAGTGACCTGGATGAGCAGAGACAGACACTCATTAGCAACAACCCTTGGAGCAGGAAAACACAATTTACCCCACGCTTAGCACCCTCTGCACTGGAGGACCCACAAAGACCATGCTGGGAGAGAGGTCTACCCGCAACACTGGCCATGGCCAGAGCAGCTCATCAGTGGTCCCATAGTCCAGTCCTAGACTTTGCCATCTTGCAATTAAAATGGTATGTGAGATCAAGAGGGACCCTATATACCTCTTGCAATGCAATTAGCAGCACAATCAACAGCATTTCCAAGGCTTTCCCTGGAAACCACTCGCACGCTCTTAAAAGAAAAGGACCTCAGTCTGAAACAGGGATAAATCCCCCTTTCTGCCTCCTCAAAGGATGCTTTAACATGAGCGGTTAGGGCCATGTCCTCCCCGGCGTGTCTGGGATTTGTGCTGACTCCCTGCCTCTCAGGGGGAAGAAGCATTTTGCTTGTCCTCTGACTCATCATCAGAATGCCAAAATTCACGTTTCGCGGGCCGTGGGCAGATATGCTTCTCTCCTCCCTTCCATCAGCCCCATTTCTTTGGGGTGGGTTGCTCAAAACCCCCACATTTATACCCTTTTTTTCTGCTGCTGCCCCAGCCTTGGCTCTTCGTGCAGGGCTGTGCAACCACCTACGGTAGGAGAAGATCCTGCTGCAGAAGGAGAAGAAACCCCCCTACAACCTCCCCACAGACTCACCGGTGAGCTGCAGACTCCCTGCAAAGCCAATGCACTGGAGGGAACTGGGCAATACCCCAAAAATGGGCACAAAGCTCCCCAACCCCTCTCCTTGCCCCCCCCAAACCACCATCATCCCCGTATGTGCAGGAGGTAGCTGGAGGTACATTCCCTCTAGGTAGTCACTTCCCCCATAATCCCAGCAAGGATTATGCAGCCCTAATGTCATTATCCCCGGGGGGGCGGGGCATATTTTCTGGCTGAATTAATCTCCTGTTGTGAAGAAATCACCGGCCAATGCTTTCCTAGAACTTGCGGCAATGGCAGAGGGATGGTTTCACAACAGGGTTATTTGTCAGGGGAAACTGAGGCAAGAAGAAGGGGGCATGTGCCAGAGACCCCATCAGGGTGCGAAGCCCAGCTGGGGAGCAGGGACTCAAAAATCCCCCAGGGTTTGGTCAAGAGATGTTGTCTCGAATGGACTGGAGGTGAAAACAAATCTCCACCCTCCCTGGGGCACTGGATGTGCTGGTATGCACTGGGCAGCAGAGCTGTTCCCGGCTGACCCGATGACCCGTGGGTGCTGGACAATACGGGAATGGCTCCGATCCGAACCTAACCCATTAAACTCTAACCCAGCCCAGGCGAAGAGGCAGCCAGCGGGAAATAGCACGGCAGTTTCACTCCGCACAGGCACTCTCGGCATGTGCACTGGCATTCCTGCTTTTTGTAACATTTACGCACATCCAAGAACATTAAGAATTATTTTTAAAAATATTTGAAGAGTTTATTTTTTTCAAATCCCTTGCATCATTTTTTTTTCCCCTGCAATGCCAGATGGATTAAATATAAAAATCAAACAGTTTTACGGGCTTTGGAGAGACAAAGCCTTTGGATTTCACAAGCGTGCATCCACTTTTAGAAAGCTGGCTGCCCTTTCTGATACCATAAAGTCAAAATGTGACTGCTAACCAGGAGCGTTGCATATGCGTGTGAAGACAGGTCAGCCCCAAGCTGGCCATGTTTGCACAAGCCTTCTCCTGCGGTTGGCTCCCCACACCGTGCTGGGATTTATGCAGCAAAACATGGGGTTGTTTGGGACAGGGTCTGCCAGAGGAGCGGGGAAAAGGGATTTTTCTCTCCCTACCTTCGTTCGTCCTGGTGATCAGCCTGAAGTTCTGCGCTTCTTGCTTGAATTCCTGTTTGCTGATCTTCTTGGTCTGTATCAGATGAAATATCCCTGCAGAGGGAAACACAGGGCATCAGACTCTGCGACACTCAATTTAAGGCTCAGGCAGGTTTGGATGAACACCTCTGTCCCCTCCTGGGATGCAAAAGGGACACTGCCTGCACGGGATGCCCCAGGGTTCTGGTTCAATGCAGGGCCTGCTGCCGAAGCCTGGTGGGAGTTTGGGAGTGAATCCAGGGCTGGCCAAGGACCAGGAGAAATCTCATTTGAAAACTGCTTGCTAAATCAGAACACGGCAGGGACAACTCCACGAAGCAGGTGAAAGCAATAAGATTTTGTTGCTCCGAAAAGCATCTCACATTGGAGGGGGTCTGATCTCCCCTAAAACCATAAAAGAAATAAAGGTGAGACCAACAGGATCTTGGGATCCCCGTCCTCTCTGCTGACTCTCCACCACCTATCTTCCCCGACTGCAGAGGCCCCTCCATCCTCAGATGTTTTCCTTTCCTGGAAGCAGCCGTGGACCAAAGTTTTCCATCTCTCTGCCCCCAGCCCTGACACTCCTCCAGGACAGAAAAAACCATGAATGACCTCAGCAAAGATCGGTATTTCTGCCTGTGCCAGCATCATCCCGTTAGCGGAGGTGCCTGACTCAGACGTTTGACCCAAGAAAACCAGAACCTGCATTTAGCAACGGAAGCGACCTTTCTGTGGGATTAGGGGTTAGAATATTCATGTTTGCCTGTGAAGCATGACAAACCAGGCAGGTATGCCTGGCATAGCCTTCCCCACCTCTCAGCCAGGCTCCCTGTGCCTCCAGCCTCTCGCTGTCGGCAGATGTGAGAGGCAATGTGGTCCCCCTTATTTGGTTAAGAGACTTTCCCTGATTCCCAGCAGCAATTACACATAAAAAGAGTATGTAACGAATGGGAACCAGCTAGCAATCCATATAAACGAGATGTTATGGACTGTGGAAAATTAATACAGGAAGTCAAAGACATCCGGAGAAATATGTGGATATTTGGACTATTAATAAGTCCTTTAAGTGGGTCAGGAAAAGAAGTCCTACCAGTAACAAAAGAAGATACTGGATGGAGATAATAAAACTGTTAATGACGCAAGAAAGGCACAAGTGTTCAATAAATCCTTCTGGTCTATACTTAGAAAGGAGCAGGAGGGTGTGCTTATGGTCCCCGTGGCTGATGAAGCACTTTCCAGTACATTAGTAACCAAGAGGATATTTTAAACAAGAGCTACAAGAGATAAACATCTTTTAATCAACCGACCTAGATAATGTTCACCCAAGAGCCCTCAGAGAGCTGGCTGAGACCTTTGGCCCCCCGGATGGTCGTTTCTGACAGATGCCAGGAGCTGGGAAGCAGCGGAGGAATGCAGACGATGCTCCAGCACGCACAAGGAGAGCACGAGGCAGCGCAGATAAGAATAGCCCACTGCGCCTGCCATCCGCCAAACAGGCATTACAGGATGGAGCTGGTAAAAGGTGATGCCATTTCCCGGCAAGCAGATCCTGTCCAACAGACAGGACCGTTCTTTGCAAAGTTTAGGATGAGATGGAGGGAAGGTGGTGGGGCTGTTGGGCACCTATCACCTTCCTTGGTGCTTTTAAAGGGGCTTATAAGAAAGATGGGGACAGACTTTTTTGGTAGGGCCTGTAGTGATAGGACAAGGGGTAATGGTTTTAAACTGAAAGAGGGGAGATTCAGACTAGATGTAAGGAAGACATTTTTTACGCTGAGTGGTGAAACACCGGCCCAGGTTGCCCAGAGAGGCGGGTGATGCCCCATCCCTGGAAACATTCAAGGTCAGGTTGGACGGGGCTCTGAGCAACCTGATCTGGTTGAAGATGTCCCTGTCCATGGCAGGGGGGTTGGATGAGATGACCTTGAAAGGTCCCTTCCAACCCAAACCGTTCTGTGATTCTATGCTTTAGGCACTGCCTCAGGACCAAAAACCAAGCAGAGTCCAGCAGAGCACAAGGAACAAATTAAGGACCAGCCCCATCTCCAAGGGAGCAAATCATCTTTCCTAATTTTGGAGAGACAAGGGAGAGACAGGTTCTTCCACAGCGCCACTCTACCCATCCTAAAATGGGAGGACAGGACACACCTTCACTGCTTCTCTCTGCCGACTTCGTGGGGAACCAACATGACTCTTTAAATGTGGTACTTAATGCTGGGCTGGGGAGTGAAGTGAGACTAATCCAAGAAACTGGTCTCAGGACTTCCTAAATCATCTCCAAAACAAAGCCTCGGCAGGTGGATGGAGATGGGAGCATGGGTGTATGAGACCCATCCCAGCAGGACACAAACTTTGACCAGAGCCCTGTACCCTGTTTGGGGCTCTGGACTTCAAGAAAGAGAGAGAGTCCAGAGCAGAGCTACGGGAAGGACCAAAGGACCAGAAATTTCTAACATCAAGGAAAGACTGAAAAAAAATCAAATGCTTAAACTGTGTAAGAGAGGACGGTGGCAGGGGCTGATGGCTTCTTCAGGTGCATCAGAGGAAAAGAGTCTGCTCTTCACTTCTGTGGTGGAAAGCATGAGAAGGCATGAGCTTGAGCTGCAGGGAGATTGCACATTGGGAAAAAGTCTTCCCTTAAGAAGGAGTTTGTGGCTCTAGAAGAGATTACATGGGCCATAGAGTCTCCATGGCAGGAGATCCAAGCACATGCCAGAAGAGCGTGAGGATGGCTGGTCTGGATCCCACAGGTCCCCTCCAGCCCAGGTGTGAGGGTACACCAGTGTGGTGAAACACTGGGGATCGCTGAAGGTCCCAGAGCTGCAGATTTTCAGGATAGAAAGGAGTAGTTTTGTTAATTTCTAATCAACAGCCTGGCAGGGTAAACGTGGGAAAGAGGTCCGTGGGGGGACCATGCCTCGAGTACAGCCCAGGCCTCCAGTGAGGCAGGGTGAGGAGCAGGAGTTTGAAGGACAGACCCTTCAAGCCTTGCTGATCCTGCCTGCTCCTTTGTTTTCCTCACTCCCCATGACAATTCCCGCTCTAAAACATCGGAAAGTCACTTTTCAAAACTCCTGAGGTGTTCAGACCCCTAAAAACATGGGGAAGCCCCCACTGCAACTCATGTGGGGGCTGGTCGTGCACCACCAGCAAGCTGGGTAAAGCTTTTGGCTGGGTGTTGGCACCGGTTTCTCCTCTCGACTCCTGCCTCGTGGAGGAAACTGTCCCGGCACAGAAATAGATGAGGCCACGTAGCTATCATAAGCCCATACAAAGGCAGATGGACAGGCTCCAGGCGCGACTTGCAGCCTCTTTTCTCCACACACGCTGCTCTGTTGGTAGAGTGATGGACCATGGAGAGGTGGAATCCATATGTGACTGAGCTCATGCTCTTTCCCAATAGTAACACTTCGCTCTGCCAAGCAAAAGAGCTGTGTTGGCCTCGGGGACAAGGGCCTCCCCTGTCCTTGGCTGGCAGGGCTCAGAAGCTCCGTGCAGACGCGAAGCTTTTGGCCTCAGAAGGTGGCAAGAAGGTTTGGGTGGCGACCTCTGCCAAGGAGCGAGGAGAGGAAATGGTGGGGCCCAGACAGTGCAGGCTCAGAGCTGTCCTCCAGCTACAAGGTGCCATTGTGAAGGAGGCTTTGCCGAGGCGGGGGGGAGGACGGGGAGAGGGGCACCATGGAGGATGGAGGATGGCAGGGGGAGGATGGAAACATGGCGGCAGGCAGGGCTCCATCTCCGGACTTGATTTCTCCGGCTACTATCCACGTGTGCCCACCCTCGGTGGCTGGGAAGAGCCAGCTCCAGGAGGGCTGAAGTCTCCTTAGGGAGTGAGGTGAGACACAAACATATCCAGAAGAGCAGAATATCTGCCTACACGTGTCCAGAAGACACCCAGCTACAGGGGCTGAGGGTCACTGTATCCGTAGGTGGGGTGCGACCAACCTCAAGTGCTCAAGGCACAAGTTTTTGCAAGAGGTAGAGTATGTCCAATGGAGACTTGGGGTTGGGGCACTGCAACGCTTTCCCAGGCCCAAGAGAAACAACACAAATATCTAGTGGACCAAGTGCCCCTAGTAGAGATATGCTCCTCTGGTCCATAAGAGTGTTGCACAGCTAAAGGTATGGGGAGAGAGCAAGATGTTGGTGTCATTTGACAGGGTATTTGAGATTCTTTGACCTCTGGAGGACACACCAACAGGAGCACCCAAATCTACCCATCCAAAAAGTGAACTGGGGGCAATTCATTCCCCTCTGTGTGCACCTTTGCAGCAGCTCTGCAAGCTTTGCTCGCAGTGATGGATGGAGTGGGGGGGGAGAGCAAAAGCAAAAATATGGAGTGACCAGAACAAGTTTTGGTTTGTATTCCATGTGCATTTGGCATGGAAGCGGATAGGTTTGGAGAAGCAGCCCCATGGCCCTTGCCTTGTTTGCCCACGTGTTGTGCATCTGGATGGTGTTGCAGCTTGTGGTGGGGTACACTGAGGCCAAAAGTGGTTTCCAGCCCCTGGTCTGCACGCAACTGCAGCAAAAGAGTGTGAAAGGGGGGAGTGAGAAAAGCCAACCTGCTGTCAGCAGGTTTCGACACATTACACAAGGTCTGGAGCACCACTAGAAAAGCCTGAAAAACTGAACAAAGCTTGGAAAGCACCAGTTTTCCACACACACCTCCTCCGTTGCTGGCTGGTTTCGTTACAGTACTCACCTTTAATCAGCTTCCAGTTGTAGATTTCCACCTCTTCCGCAGGCTCCTTCTCGATCGCGATCGTCCTGAGGATCTCCTTGGAGGTCTCTGAGCTCGGCGGCACAAACATGTACACTAGGACGCGGTTGGGGTTCTTGCCACACTGGGTGGTGACTATTTCATCGGTGGGTTTGACCCTGGTTTCTGGGCAAAAACAAGGACAGAGTTCATTAAATAGGGGCAGGAAGGAGCTTGGGGGAGCCATCTCAGCACCCAGGTCAAGGGAAAGGCATCTTGTTGGGTTTGATGTGGCACAGCTGCATCTCTGAATGGGACCTTGTCTCCCAGGCTCCAATTCCCAGCACCAAGATCAGCAGCAAAGGGAGATGTTGATAAAGGATCTGTGGACCTGCTCATCCCCGTATTTTCCATTCCCCTTGATTTTGGCAGCATCTATACCAGCAGGGATGGGGAAAGGGGGTTTTCTCCACCTGGATCCCCCGTACCCGCTGCAGGCAACTTGCTGCCATCATCGCTGCAAAGCCCAGGCTGGATGCTGAGCTTCCCATCTCGCTCCCATTGCCATCCCGAAGGAGCAATGTCAGCAAAGCGAAAGGATGAGCCCACAGCACGGGAGCCAGCGCTGTGGCTGGGCTGCCTGGGCAGTGCGCCCGGCTCAGCCCTGCGGGTGGGCTCAGTCCCAGCCCAAGACTCTTCCCAGTATGGGGTGCAACGGCGGGGAGACCCACACCAGGAGCACCAGGGGGGACCCTACGTGACTTTTTCAACATCCTTGGTAAAGGAGAGCTGCTAATTTTTTAATTTCTTTTAATGTATCTGGAGTAATTAAGAATCCCCCACGGTTTTGGAAGGAGATTTATTGCCTTTGGTTGTGGTCCTTGGAACACAGAGGAGCCCAGCTCTGCTGAATTTAGCCTTGTTCTCCCAGTCATTTTGGATGCTGAAGCTTTTTACACTACTCGAAAGAAAGTTTGGCTATAAATAGACGCGTGGGGTTTATTTTAGTAGGACAGTTATTTTAGGCCTGATTCTGCTCTCCCTTGTGCTTTCTGGGGCGGTCCTGAGCTACTTTTCTTAGGGAGGGGATGGAAATCCCAATTTAAAGGGATGCAAAGCAGGGCTTTTTCAGCAACGGGAAGACAAGTGTTCAGTTCTGCAGGCTCAGCGTGACACGAAGGGGATGACCACAGCCCACCACCCTCATCACGGGGTCTGGGTACAAGAAAACCTCCGTCCCAGACCATTAAACTTCACCCACTCCAGGGCTGCTCTTTGCACCGATCGAGGAAGCCCCACCTTCATGACGGGGAAGGAACCACACGTCCTCGCAGGTACAACAGGTATTTAGCAACCTTGGAGATTCACGCTGGAGCCACTCCATGGCCAACAGCATTGGGGAGGAGGAGCCGGGACCCAGGGGTCCTGGCCACTAGCGCTGCCCCCAGCAGCCGCGACAGTCTCCCCATTTGACCAATGCATCGCAGCAATTCCCCTTCGATCAGGATCCCTTTTGCAAATAGAAATCACTCAGCATTTCTCTCCAAGCTACTGGGTACAAAGAAGGAAAGAGGAGGACAGTTGTGGAAACTGCCTGGAAAAAGAAGATGGGTGAAACCTCTGTGCAGTGAAGCAAAGGACAAGCGTGTAACTTGGCTGAGCAATGTGTATGTGTGTGTGATTGCTATCTATGAGTACTGGAAAGCAAGAAGAAAAACATTTTGGCTGGGTCAGAGTGTTTAACTGGAAATAAATGAAGGCTGAACAGCAGACAAGAGATCCCAGCAGAGAAAGTTGTAGACTTTAAATCAGAAAGACCCACTATAATGGGAATGCAAGACTGAAAGGGCTCTGCTCAGTCATCACATCCCATTCCCACCAGGCACCACGTCATAAATCCTGCTCATAAACATATCAGAAACCTTATTAAAACAAGCTGAGCTTCTGCCCTTCGCTCCCCGGGGAGGCCATCCCAGAACCTCCCTGCTCAGAGGCTGGAAAACCTTGAAAATCCCAGCTGAAATAATTTTGCAGCCTGTTTGCCCCCATTCTTAAATGCAACAATGTCCCTTGCTTGTTGTCCCTGGTGAGACCCCTCCACAAAACCACCTTGGAGATGCACATCTGAGGAGATCACCCAGAAACTGCTGCATCTGCAGTCAGGCTCAGAGACACTCAGGTATCTTTAGTCTCTCTAGGAAAGCAGTGGGTGGTCCATCATCTAAACATCTACTGCTGAATGACAGTACAGAGAGGTATAACCTAGAAAACACTCTCCAGTGGGAACAGAAGAGCTCATGCCCTGCCACATCTTTGCCAGGTCTGTGGTTTAAGGTAAACAGCTTTCTAAAGACCAAGAAGCAGCTGAGAGATCCAAAACCCATTGAACATGAAAAAAAAAAGGTCCTCTCCACCATGTTGCAGCCCCAGCACCAGCCCAGTCCTACCTGTCCCACCCCAATACTTGTGTGCCTAACCCTCCCCTTCCAGGGATGGGGACCTCAACTCAAATTCAGACAAACCATGAGTGCCACAGATAACCCCGCACCCGGAAAGTGTCCTCCTAATTTCAAACCTACATTTCAGCTGTCACAATTCAACCCTATGATTTCTTGTCCCAGCTGGAGGTCTGGAGAACAGACCATGCCCTCTCCCCAGAAAGCATCTTCTGTCTGTCTGAAGACTCTTAGCATGGCCCTTCTTGGGCATCTTTCTCCAACCCACCCAAGAGGTGCAACCTTTGGGGATCTGTGCAGCTTCCTCACCTCGGGTCAGTCCTGCTGCCCTCCAAGACAGGCCAACTCTTACATCAGTGCTTGCCCTGCTGAACTCACCTGGTGTGAATTCAGGTCACCAGCAACGTCAGCCCCTACACATCTGTCTGCCTGGGGCTTTAAATCAAGGCTAAAGGAAGGAACTGGAAGGCAGCTGCAGGAGCAGGTGGGATCCTACCTACCTGGACATATTTTACAGCATTTCCCATCTACTTTCTCTGGATAGTCACACGGATACTCCTTGGGGCACGTGATCTTCTGGCAGTCCTGGACACCATCCCTGCAAGTGCAGAGGATGCAGGGCAGGAGGCCGTAGAGCCGGAAGACAGGGTGCCACACTTCCCCGTGGGAGTAGGTCTTCCCGTTGTAAACACAAGCTGGAGGAGAGAGAGAAGAGTTGCTGGTGGAAATAAATCCTCCTCCTCTTTCTAGACCCAAGGTTTGGTGGAGCTCAGGACATTTCACCACCTCAGAAACGGGTGGCCCTGCTGTCTTGAGGAGCATGGTCCTCTGGCAGCACTTCTGGCAGCAGGGGACACTGGGATCTTGCAGCCACCCCACCCGGGAGGTGCCATGGGGCAGGGGGACCAGGCTCCAGGAGATGGAGGCTGCTGGGGTCAACCACCCTGGTGGAGGCAACTGGTAAGTGTGGGCAGGACCTCACCTGCCTCCAAGCCTCTGCAAGCCCAGGGTCTCTCCAAGGCTGTCACAGGCGTGAAGCACAGTGAAGAGTGCCACCTGCTGACTCCTCCATGAAAATTTTTGGAGGTCCCAAAATTTCCTCCAGGGCTTCATCTCGAAGGACTGGAAAGAGCCCTTCTGGAGACACAGTGGTGGGAGAGCCCACAAGAGGAGAAGGGACCTGTCTTTTCCCCTTTGGCTCCATAGGATTGCCTCCTCATCTCACTTTCCTACTCTCTCCTCCAGAAGGAAGACCACAGCAGTGGAACAGACCCAGCACGTGGTGGGTAGGTACAAGGAGGAACATCCTGTACCTCTGCGGCACTGTCCTGGAAGGACCACATGGAGTCCCAGATCTCCAAAACACCCCAAGGACCAATGTCCTTCCAACCCTTTTTGGAAAGTGATAGGTTCGTGCAGCCATGGGGCTGTGGGCCACCAGAGCTGAGATAGCTGGGTGAGGCTGGCTGTGGAGGAGTGGGAGGTGGGACTTGGTGGTGGAAAACTGCTGCTGAAACAGATTCCCTGGAGAATTCATAGTCCTGGAGAAGTCACCTTAGGCCACCTACAGATTGCCTGGCCCTTCCATCCCTTACCTTTCTTGTGCTTCTCTTTCAAGACGATCTTCACAGTCGTGCCACCTCCTCCCTTTGGTTTGAAGCTCCTGGGAATGAACTCCAGGGAAGAACTGAGAACAGTGGACATGGTGGCTCCGGGTGTCTTCCTGCCCATTGCTTCCCCCAAGCACTGGTCTTGCGAGTGCCTCTGTGAGCAGTCAGAGAAATGAAGGAGACTCAGACCCAGGCAGTTGGGTTGTTCTTACTCCAAAGCATGCTGGAAAAAGCCATGCAGTGTCCTGCACACCTTCCATCAGGAGTGGAAGGTCCAGAGGACACAGGGATGAGCAATGACCCAGGAGCCATCTCGGTGCCTGCCACCACCTAAGGGACCCTGAGCACCTTGATGTCCACCCTATGCTGCAAGCGGATCACCCTCATTGGGGCAGCACCCTTCTTGTCTCACGCTCAACCCAATGCCCTCAGGTGAGGTCCTACATCACTAACACAGGCAGGCAAATGGGCTGGTCTTTTCTAGATGCCAGCTGGGAAACTGAGGACCAGCATCCGTGCAACCCAACCAGGATCAGAGAGGTAAGGACAGGCTGTATCCTGCCCTCTCACCTGGCTGGCAGCAGGAGGCTTGGTGTGGGACTGCCAGCCAGCAGGACTGAAATCCCTGGAAGAGCCTGGGCTTCCAAGAACAAACCACCAGACAAGACATGCAGCACAAAGGGTCCCCTTGTGTCTATTTTGGAGGTTTTATAGGTGGTGGAGGTGTGATGCTGGCGTTTCACCCAGCAGTATGGAAAAGGGCAGGGCCAGGAGCTGTAAGTGACCTAATCCCACAGACCTGGCATGGGCTGCCCAGCTCTGAAATGTCACCGTGAATCAACCCTCAGCAGCCAAGGAGTCAGTTTTTCCTTGCTGGGGCTGCCGATAAAAACAGCCTGGGGAAAGCATGCTGGTGGCCAGCTCCAGCGCTGGCTGCTCTGTGGGAGCTACGGTTGGGAGGCAGGACACCTTTGAGCCCAGGGTGGAGAGGAGACACCATCTCCTGAAGCAAAAGCCCCCAAAGAGAGATTTGGACCATCTGACCCTATGGATAAGAGTCACATCTGGCTGTCGGTCACCTCTGAGTCTCCTCTGTCCATGTTCCTCAGCTGTTTTAACCTACTGGCCAACCTCAGCCAGGTTGGCCAACAAGGAGGAGAAGTGCCCAAGATTTCCAGTTCCCACACATCTTTTGCTCTTCCAGAGACTTCAGAGAAGCATCAGAGGAAGAGGACAGGAGTATTTCCCTGGTGGTCTGAGGTCTCAGCCTATGCTGATAGCCCTCACCTAAAGTCAACTCCCAGACACAATTCATCTGCAAACCAGGTGTCTGTGGTTCTGCTATCCAAGGAACTGACTGCCTTCCTAGAGCTGCTGTGGGTCATTGCTTTGTAGAAGACTATGGCCAAGGGCAAATGGCTTTCTTTGAGCTCTTTAATGGGGCTGTGCTAGAAGTAATAATCTAAGTTTTAAAATGCAAACATCACGTACAACACCTCTGTTTAACTGCAGGGGTTCGTCTTCTGTGGACTTCTCATATGAGCCATCTGCAAGGAAAAAATATTGTCCTATGAAATGCTGCAGGGCTGAATGAGGATCTGCTCTCTGGGGACCAGATGACTAAAAGCAGCTTTCTTCAGGATGCTGGCCCACCTGCGAGGTCTGGAGAGAGAAGAGCTTCAAACATGCAATTCACATCACCCAAAGCCAGTTGGGGCCATACCCCAAAACCCCTTTTATCCCCACTGACTATTAACAAGAGCTCGTCTCCAAGAAAGACATGGCTTTGCAGACTTCTGAAGTTAGGTGGTATGAAAACAGCTCAGAGGTAGAGTATGAGATGATTGGGATGATCTGGCATTAAAAACAAATCCAAAGACATTTTTCACCCAGTCAGTGACATGCCCCACCTGCACCAAAGAAAACTAGGAGAGAGGAACACAAACTGCAGAAGGGGAGAGTTTGGAGGAGGCACCTGGAGAAGGTCATTATGTGACCATGACAAGGAGACCACCATGGCTTTCCAGCTTCATAAATATTTCTCATATTAAAGAGTCATTTTATGCTGTGACTTCATTGTCAGCAAGGTGTGAACCTGCCCATTCGCTCTTGAGTCTGTCTCATCTGGAGACATGGAGTTTGATTCTCTCCTCACCCTCTCAGGTGTGAGTCAGGGGAAACAGCAGAAAATTCAAGAGTTTCTCCCCTGCAGAGAGTTGTAGGAGTGAAACTCAGCCAGGCCGTACTGGAGTGGAGGCGGGGGGGGTTGTCCCTGACTGTCCTGGAAACTTCCCTGGAACAACAGTAGCATGCACCATCTTTACATGGTCCATACAACCATCTCCATCCTGGTGGGTGAGTGGTCTGGAGGACTTTGCCCTCCATGCAGGTCACATCTCTTGCATGATGCACCAGCGGCAGGGCAAAAAGCTCAGCTCTGGCCAGCATATGGGCTGCAGGGAGGCAGGACACAGCTAGGTGTGGGAGGTAAAGCATGCAAGTAAAAAGCTGAGCCCTCATCTTTTGTTTCCTGGTGCAACCAAGAGATAGCAAGTGGCCTGATTTACAGCACAGGCTTCCAAAATCCTGCTAAAGTGGCCTGAAACAGCTCCTGCCAGCTGGTGGCAACCAGCTGGGGTCTCCCACCCCTCGCTAAGGAGCAGCTCCTGGGCCCCTCATTACCTTTGCAGACCTGGCAGCAGGAATCCGGCACGGTTAGGGGAGAGGAGCACAACAGCTCTGGACAGGTCACCAAGCCGCAGTAAATCTGGCCTTCCTAGGAGGGCAGAAAGAAAAAAAAAGCATTGTCAGCATTATAAAGATCTGGACAGGGTTGTATGTCCCCCGTGTTGGGGCACCAGCACTTCAAATTGCAGATCTAGCCTAAATCAAAAGCCCCCCCCAACAGTCCATCCTCAGATATCACCAATCATCTAGCAACTGATGAAAGCCAAAAATCTGGTCCTGCCACTCTCTTCACCCTGCAGGGTATAGGACGGTGAGCGGTGTCCTCCCCTGGCATGGCTGGTCCACTGATTGCCAGTCCACATGCTTATGAGCGGAGTGGTCTTCCCCAAAAAGGGGGAGGCAGTGCCTTCCTCTCAGGCATCGTTCGTGCTACTGGATCTGAAACAGCCACCACACACCTGCATAACACCCACCAGTTCGAAGTGGCACAAGAACCTTTTCTCTGACATGTCCCAGGACAAGGACCTGGAGGAAAGAGGTGGAAAGGGGAAGCGTGATGCTGAACCCAGACCCGGGTCCACGCCACAGCTCTGCCTTCCCTCTGTCTTGGGTTATTCACTAACACCAGAGCCAAGCCCACAAAGACATTGGGTCAAGAGCTGTGGATGGACCTTCAGATGTAGACCTTCTTCCACTGACTTGGTGGTTAGTTTGGAAAACATCATTGCTGTAGTGATTCAAGCTGAAAACCATGGGCCAAGGCCAGCTTTGACTTCAGTGCATCCCAGTCAATGGATTTGCACCTGTTTGCTGCAGGGTTAAGGATGTTCAGCAGCCCAACAGCAGCCAGACCTCAACAGCAAGGTCCTCTTCTCCAGGCAGCAAGTTTCTCTGGGGTATCCCCAAGCTCTCAGTCAACTGAAACCAAGAGGTTAGCCAAGGATATCCTTAGAAAACCAAACCACCGCAGCTTCTTCCACCATCAGGAAGCCAAGCCGCTGTACAGGGGACGTGAAGAGGTGGAAAAAAGTTTGGTAAATGAGAGGAGCTGGTGGAGGTTGCTGCAAACCAAACCCTGCTCTCTGCTTCAGGGACCTCCATGGGGTTCAGACCTGCAGGGAGCAGGGTTTGGCCATGCAGCCTCTTCCTTCTTTCTCCTCTGACCGGCAGCTTATGGCAAAGACCTGCCTCAGGCGGGAAAGAGCAAATGTCATAAAAAGCAGGACTTATCCCGGAGGCTCTGGTCTCAGGGCAGTTTTCAAAGAGGTTTAGACCAGCTGTTCACGCAGCTGTTCTAGCAGCTGACAACATCAGACACAGCCCGGCGAGACCCCGCCACTGCAAGACTCCACAGCCATCCTTTTATTTTCCCTTTTGTATCCAAGGCATTATCCTGCCGAATAAACAGAGCCTGAGCGAAAGCCAGTGCCTCCGAAAGGAACACAGAGCTCCACAGGCTCCTGGGGATGGTGGCAGATGGGGTGGGAAAGCAGGGCCAGGTGGGCACATACACTCAGATTTGAGGGCTCCTTCCTGGCGTTTGTCCCCAGCCTGGTGGCCTGGCACCCACTTGGGCTCCATAAGAGAGGAACCAGCCTCAAAAGCTGTATAATTTCTACATCTAAGCTATTCCTCTTGCCACCTAGCTCCAAGCCACCTAGCTCTAAGGCTTGCACAAGCACCAAAGGCTCAGAGCAGCCATCCTGATATCGTTGATACTTTATTATCAAGCATCAGCTGATGGTAACCACCATGTGTGTGCTCTTGGCAGGAGAGAGGGAGGTGGTTTGGGCTCTCTCACCCCTTTTTCTTTCCAGGCCAAGCTTAGTCCAATTATTTGCTGCAAGCAAAGCACAGACCAGTGGAGCCTGGTCCCATCCAAGGGCTCTGTACGATGGGTGGTGAAAGCCACGTCTGCAACCCTCTTCTTTTTTATGGCAAAGGCTGCAGCTGGTATGAGCAGTTCCCCACAGCGTCCAAGTCCAGCATTGGAACTTTAAATCCCCCTTCCTCGCTCCCTCTCAAGGAGGAGGAGCTGCTCCCTTTATCTCCCAACACTCAGCTCCTGGCACGCACGGGCCCACTCCATGCACCTTCCCCATTGCTGCTGGCCAGGCTGCCTCACGCATCCCCAGCAGGGTCAGGACTCGGTTTTTGATGGTTTTTCGCAGGATCTCAGCCTGTGGGAGGGGGCTGCATGAAGCGGAGCCAAGCCCTGTCTCAGGGCATTGCTGGAAGCTCACGGAGAAAGAACATCCCTCCATTGCTGGCAGTCCATCACGGGGATGCACGTTGAGGACCACACAGCATCCTGGCCACTGTCACAGCCCTCAGGTGGGGCAATCAGGACCATCAAGGAAGATGGGCATGCAATGGTCCTGGAAAGGTCATTGCAACTCAGCATAAAAGGCAGATGCTTCTTGCAAATGTTTTTTGTAGACAGCCTGGAAAGCACATGCACAGCCTTTCTCCAGGGCACACCTCTGCACACAACAGCCCAGAGGGCTGGTGAACACACTGCAGGAGTTTCCAGATGAGACCAGCTCCTGGTGCTCAAGCACGTCTCAGCCTTGGGTTCAGCTTCCATTTAAATCCAAGCAAGGGGGATGAAGATGGCTAGATGCCTGCCCATTGGCATCTCTGACTGGTAGGCTCCACTGCCCCATCTCTCTGTTGTCATCTCCTGGCTGCATCAGGGGGTGAGCTCCAGCCATGCAGGGCAGGAGCTGGCTGCTGGAGGCACCTTGAGACCCAGGCACCCAGCAGCAGTTGGGAGCCACCAAATCCTTTCTGGAGCTCAGCTCAATCTCCCCAGCTCAACACCAGGCTCGACATCCCAAGAACTTCTGAAGCCCAAGAGCTGGCACCTCGCATCCGTGTTGCCTTGCAGGCACACAGCTCCTCCAGGTTCCCCTGGCTGCAAACCCCATCTGCTTTGCAGCAAGCACAAATGCAGAAAAGCTCCCGGTTGTCCTCGCTGCCGGCCATCTGCCATACAATGCCTCAGTGGGGCAGACGGGATAGCTGGATGCTGCGGGAACAGCCCCAGAGCACTGGTCCTTGCAGCAGGCAAATGCACCCACTGGTGTGCTAAACGGGGACAGAGCTGTCCCCCTGCCCACCCCAAGAAGCCCCAGGTGTGTCCACCCAGAACTGCCCTGTGGGCTTTTCAGTGAATAACCCACCCTTGGAGCAGCTTGTTCGTGCTGCTTCTATTGGGGAGGAGATGCAGGTGAGTGCTTTGTGCTCTGACCCCAGGGCCCAGCGGACATTTGCAGCACACCCTGCTCGGGGTCAAGGCCAGAAAGCACATTCGGGCAGAGGGAGAAGCACTCAGCTCTGCGGTGGTCCTTAGTCGCTGGGCAGGGAGGACCCAGCATCATTTCAGCAGAAGTTCAGTCTCCTGCACTGATAACCTGATCCTGACAATAAACCATCCCACCATGGGCTGGTACCACCCAATGGTCCTCATGAGGTTTTTGATCTGGTGGGACACTGTTGGGGTGCAGGAGCAGATCCCGAGCCCTCCCCACTTCCCATGGGCTCGCAGGTAGCTTACGGAGCAGCTGCACTGCACACACTGGTTCGGCTGGCGGCTGGGAAAGAGCTCACTGGTGGTGAACATCTCGCCTTGCTGGTAAGTCGTCCCATTGTACTGGCAGGACTTGACGGGTGCCCGGAGGCCAGAAGGGGAATGTGGCTCTGGAAAAGAAGATGAGAAAGCAGCAGGGTGAGAGTCAGCCCCTACCCGGCTCCCATGTAGTGTGGGTGCTCACGATATTACCCATCAGTCTGACCTGAAAGGATAAGGAGCTCTTTACACACCACAGTTACCATGAAAAAGTGGCCAGGGCATTGTGTGACCCATGGAGATTTATGTACCCAAAAGCTTTTGTAGAATGGGGCTTCCCTGACCATGCTGAATTCATCATAGAGGTAAAACCTGGAAGTCTGACCTCCTGGGGTCTTGTCCCACGCCATGCCAGAGTGGTGGCAAAGCTAGTCAAAAACCACATGCAATTTAGGAAATTAGAAAAAAAAATAGAAAAAAATGTTTAGCCCTTTTGATCTGACTCCAACTGATGTTGGAGGTCATCACATTCAGGGGAAGGGAAAAATCAAGAATTTTGTTAAAAATCTTCAAAATTTTTTTTTCCTGTATCCAACACATTTTGCTGGCAAATGATCTGAATAAAGTGCCGGCTTCTGGTTTGTCACTGAACTGTGAACTGACATTTTGTCCCTACAAGGCTCTTGGGATGGGGTGGAGTTGGAGAAAGTGGTCTGGTAGAGAGCCCCTTTCCATCAAAATGACATTTTTTGGGTGGGAAAAAGCAACACGAGCAGCCTGAGCTGCCGTTGCTGCCATGACTCTGTGAGCAGGGCCAGACCCAGCATCGCTGCACTGCCCCAGGCGTGAGCATTCAAGTGACTGCAGTTGAGGTACGCCCTGCAGGACCACGGCCACCTTGTCACCCCCTCCCCATGAGATGTCCACCTACCGAGACACCGCGGGCAGCACTGCTGGGGGTCTGTGACGGGGCTGGCACACTGCAGAGCCGGGCACTGGATCCGGTAGCACCTGATGTTGGCGTTCTGGGGAGAGACAGAGAGAAAGACGGTTCGTTCAGCTACACATTCACCCCTGCAAGAGGAGGAAGATGTTGGATGATGGCCACATTATCACAACAGATTGTGCTGGTGTAGCTCGCCCAGCCAAGGATATCTCCATCCCCGGCTCAAACCCAGCAAGCTCATGGTCTCATCTCTCATCATCAAAGACCACCCATGGTCCTATCTCTCATCATCAAAGACCACCCATGGTCCCACAGCAGCCCTGAGCCACCTCCACCCACAGCCCACCAACGCTACTGAGACAGCTCCCTCACAAGGTCAACCCAACACCCTCAGGGGGACGGGGGCCTTTTTCAAAAGGAAAGCGATTAATCCAACATTCCTCCGGGACTGGAAAGGGCTTCTCTGGTTAAATTAGACACCAGAACCAATCTGCTTAAAAGCTGCCAAAGCGATGCCCCAATGCAGCAGCCACCTCCCGTGGCACCTCACAGGAGACGTGCCTCAGCGCAGCTGCAGCGGATGCAGTACATCAGCCCCTGTGGCTCCAGATAGGGGTGCCAGCTCTCGCCTGGGCTGTACTTCTTGCCGTTGAAGTCGCAGAACATATCCGGCCCTGAAAGTCAACCAGGAGAAGCTATGTCAGAGAAGGGGATGGTCCTTGGAAGAGCCGTCCTTCCTCCATGATGAGAAGAGCAAGGACGGCTCTGTGCCTTCATGCTTTCCCATGAGCTGCATCCCGTCCACCAAACCCCAGATGGAATACATTCCCCAAAAGCCTTTTTTTTGGCTATGATTTGTTTTTTTAGGCTGGAACCCATCTGACCCAAACAGCAACTCCTCTGAGTAAGCTGGAGTCCCTCTGCAAGAAAGGAACAAAATGGATGTTTCTGAGGCAAAAATTAGAGTTGTCACTCTAAAATAGGTCAGTAGAAGTGCTCACTGGAAGATGGACAGGTGATTTCAGGTGATGCTATGGGACTGAATTTCCTCCAAGGAGACTGGAAGGGCTGGGAGTGGTGGGGGAGATAGATAGGAGAACCTGAATTTAGGAGACTCTTACCCAAAAACAAGAACAAGAAGAAAAAAAAGACATTTGGGGGTAGAAACACATTCTGAAGGAAAATCTTTTGCTCCCCCTAAGAGCTTCAGCTCATTCTCTCAAGGATCCCTGGACAAGCACTGTCATACACGGCCAGCCCAGCATCAGGCCTAAAGAGCAGGACTGTGCTGGCTTGCCCCATCCCACCAGGCTCAGGTCCTTGGCTTTACCAGGCTTGACATGGCACTGGTCTGGCTGGAGTGGGTTGAACCATGCTTTTCAATTATGGGGCTGTCCATGGGGACAGCAAGTCCACCTCATCCACTTTTTGCCCCGAAAAGCATAAAACCATGTATTTTTCTCTTCCTCCTTGATCCTATCATCCTGAGAAGAGCCAGTTTCTAGGTATGCTCCTGAACTGGAGGTGTCTGTCCCAGAAACGATCCAGCCCTGCCTACAGTGGCATGGATTTAACCTTGCCGTGGCACAGGGAGAAGGATGAGATGGTGCCCAGCACAACTGGTGAAGGACATCCCCTTCGGAGATCTCCCGTCTCCTCAGATTTTAGCAAGTTCCTATCAAACCCCTCCATCTCCAAGTCCTTGGTTACACACCAACCCTTTGACAGGACAAGCCCAGCCTGCAGCAGGACCTGTGGGACAAACTGTGGCCATAATCACCACCAAAAGCCACAGGGCTTTGGCCAGAAAGCCCAGTTCAGTCATCCTTAATGTTCACATCAAAAAGCATCATCTGGTCCTGCAGGACTGAGCTGTGATCCTGGTTGGACCTGCAGGAACCTGGACCCCATAACTCCCACTGCAGCCCAGTGGCTGCTCCTGCTTTCCCGTGGCATGTCCCCAAGCCCCGACCAGGCACAGGGATGCACCAGGGCTTAAACTCTTTCATGAATAAGTACATGCCTGCCCACATGTGTTATTAGTGGTTTCAGTGCTTAAAGCCCCACTAAAAACTGAAGGTGATTTAAAAGGTTATGTCATCGAGGGGATTTGAGGTAGTTTGGGCGATTACGTTGCTCAAAGGCAGCGGAGACATTTACACTCCCTGAAGCTTTTATGGGTCTTTTAAAACCTTGCAGTGCCCTGGGGATGCGGAGAGAGGGGAGAGAGCTGTTTTCCAAGGCATGGTGCCCAGCTCCCACCACCCCGCAGCATGAAGTCGGGCAAGCTAGAGGGTGCTGACCCCACTACACTGCTGGAAGGACTCCTCGATGAATGGCAGAGGGTCCCCAAAACAAGCTCAGTGGCGTTCACCACCTCAACGATGCTAAAAGCCATCCCATGTTCCGCTCTGTCACCTGGGGCAAAGCAGTAGTTTAGAGAGCCCGGCCGGCGTTGTCCCACCTTGCCAAAGCTGGAGGTGCCACTTGCGTAATGTGTTTCTCCCACCAACCAGGCAAAAATTATACAAATTCACTGTGGTGGGCTGCCGTCCTTCCTCCAGCTCCTGACCATCCTCAGGATGAACCCCAGTGACACTCTACCACGGCCAGACCCTGTGGCCATTAGGAAGGGCAGCCCTGTGGGTCTGTCATGATCCTCATCGGTCCCTTCCAATTCAAGCCCTATGGGTCTGCCAGCAGCCCTGAGCTCCTCGTTGAGCTGATGGCTTCAAGCACTTGATTCTCCAAGTTGTACCTTCAAAGGAGGTGGCTACCAGCTGTCCAGACCACCTGGCCCAAGCACAGCAGTGTGGGGCCAGCATTGTATCTGCAGAGGTGGAGATTTGCAATAATTTGGGGGTGGATGCTATCAGAGGGACAGGCAGAGGCATCTTCCTTCCTTTTCCCTACTCAGGTCTTTACATCATCCCCATAGCTTGCTCCAAACCTCTTGACAAGTCAGCAAAGCCATATTCCTGGCCATGCACGACATGAGCTTACAGCAAACCACGCAAGAATAGGGAGCATGTGGCTGGAAACTGCAGAAACCCAGAAGAGAGTGAAAAAAAAATCCACAAAACTAAAAAAAAAAATAATCATCATTTTGCAAAAGGGTGAGAAAATTACTTCATTTTTCCCTGCTTGCAGCATCTTCATGAATTACGCTGAGGGTGAAGAAATCAAGTTGCCTTCATGTGACGCGGCCCTGCTCAGCTTGCAGGCTCCCATGCCAGTTGGCTGCTTCGTTCAAACATTTAATCACAAGTGGAGCCCTGGTTTGGGTCCAGCCCTCGAAAGCAGCCTGATTCATGTCTGCAAAGGGCCTGCTGGTAAAATTAAAGCCGACTGGCAGTGCTGGGCAGCAGCAGACACTTGTCCGCATCTCAGTAGCACTATGCCGCGTATTTGGCAAGAGGCACCGGCTTATTTGGTTAAAAGCAAGCTGGGGATGGATGGAAGGACGAGGCTTAAAAACTGGAGGCTCTGGATCATTTTTTCCCATGCCAGGCTAATAATTTCATTTTCAGAGGTCAAACTTTGGATATCTTCCCAATTGACTTGGAGTGAAAAGCCATTTGTGGCAGTAAATTGCTCCCGTGCCGTTCAGTCTCCTTATTTATTGCGTCTTCAGCAACAGCATGCTCACAAAAGTCACGTTGTTTTACTTCTCATTTTCCAGAGAGGGCTCCTGAGCTGCGGAGCATTTTCAAGGCTGCAGTACCAAAAACCCAGATGAAGCCATCACCTTGTTTTCACTCCTGAGGACCACGCCATCCCTGGACAGGAGAAGACAGCGGGCCAGCCTGGTCCATGCCACCTTGGAGACACAACCAGAGGTTGCAGATTGCAAGCCAGAGGCTCCACACTTGGAGGTGGCCCTATGGGACCTGGAAGCAGGAGCAGAGGTGGAAAGAGGCAAGTTCCCCATTGCAAACACTTCCAAGAACAGGTCCCATCTAACTGGTTTCTTCTCAAATACAAGAAGTCCCCAAAACAAGACCCTCCTCTTCCAAGTACCATTATGGGTTGTATGAACCAGAAAAAACAACTGAAAGCCATGGAAATGATTCCTCTGCCACCCAGCAGCAAGTCCTGTGGCCTCATGCCCAGAGGAAGGGTGGGAGATGCTGCAGAGAGCAGCTCCTCCACGTGGGAGCTGCTCTGCCTTGCCCACCCCAAAGGGCTCTGCCTCCCCCTCCAACAGCCATTTTCTGCCACGGCTCCAGTGTTTTCTTGGGTGAGGACCACCTGGTTACATCCAAATCATTGAATACCCCAGGCCAGGGTCTGGGGCCAGTGGCCTGGCCCTGCTCATGTCCATACCCACCCGCTGGAACCGCCTTGGCCCAGCTGTCCCCAGGCATTTGGCAAAGCCCAAGTTGGCACCAGCCAACACCATGTTGGGGAGTGCACCTGCAGCAAGAGTCTGGACACCCCTGGCCAATGCTTGAGGCTGTGCCCAGGCTCTGGTTTACTTTGATTATCGTTAATTGTCATTATCATTAATTGCATCCTGGACGGCAAGGAGGGTATGTAATATGAGATGGAAAGTACGATGGGGAGGGCAAAGCAAGAGAGGGCTCTTACCAAGAAAAGAGTGATCTCCGGCCATGGCAGGGACAAGAAGAAGCAATCAGCTTGGAGCAAAGCCTGGAAGATTTAGGATAGGTATTGCAGGAAGCTTTCCAGCTACCAGGAGATTGAAACCCCAGAAGAGGCTGTCGTGGAAGCTCTGAGACACTCTATGAATATGCTGGAGCAGCATCTTCACAAGATTGTCTAGAGACACCAATCGAGGGCGACAAACTGAATGGCATGGAGAAACCCATCCTGCGCTGCATTCAGTGACTGCTGATGTCTCTCTCACACCAGCAGAATGGCCCAAACGCCTCTTTAGGTTGTATCTCAACAGCTTCATACATCAGCCACCAATGAGATGCCATCCCACGTCTTCATGACCTGCTCTAGATCCAGTGAGAGACCACAAAATGAGGGGAGACGAGCAAGACCCCACAGACTCCTTGTTGAACCATCAAACTGGCCGATGTTGGTCAGACCACCCCCAACATCTCTTGGCCTTGGACGCAGACAAGTCCCCTTGGGCCAGCATGTCCATGAGATGTGTATCTTGAAGCCCTCCCACCCGCTAGCACAGCCCATTTGAGCTACTTCCTCGCATCCCTCCACATTCGCAGCAGACAAGGATGTCCCCATGGGTTTCCCAACGTGGTGTGACTCGTCCCACTGCCTGGGCACTTTGACCATGGCTGAACCAGGGGCCAAAACAGGTCAGATGGTCTCCTGCACCGATCCCAAGCATGGCAGCAGGAATCAAGGTGAGCTATTAAACTTGCATGCGTGATGGCTACTGAAAGACCATGTCCTGCTGCCAATTCCTCCTTCTTTGGCTCAGGCTGAGCCGTGCTCACTGCACCTCCCTCTGGATACAGGGACTGATGCTCAACAAAGTCAAGCCACATACACACGTGCAAGACCCTGCCCCTACAGCCCCCACTCCCACATCAGGGTTTCCCAGACCCAAGGGTCATTATGGGTTATGGTTGGTTTTAAGCTGGTTTTACATCACTGCTCCATCAGCCCGGGGAACAGCTGCCATTCGCACGCCCATTACCCAGCCGGGTCTCCGCATGTAGGGAATCACCACACATCAGTCCTGACTTACAGGACACTGAGGAGTCCCCAGAGGCGAGTCCCTGCTGCAGGTAAAACCTTGACTTGTGGCTACAGAGGGGCTAACGCACCCTTGAGACCCCAAAGCGTGGAAAGCCCTGTGCCTCAGTTTCCCTAGCAGGGACTTTCACTCCAGGTACCAAACTGGCTCCAACAAGGATGTTACCAAAACATCCCGCTGGTCTTGCCCCACTTCTCTCTCATTTTGTCTCATGGCACAGGGGTTTCTCTCACCTCTATGTGCCTGGGCGATCCCCCCACAGCTCTCTCCCAAGCAAGGCACATCTGAACCAGGCTCCCAGCCCCAACAGCTTTTTCGGAGGTCACGCACCTGCCAGCCAGCACTGCGCCTGGCGTGCAGGGGTGTGTTTATGCAAACCAGTTTGCAAGTTTTAAGAGCGGCCATAAATAAAGTGTAAAAAGCACTGTCTGGTACAGAAAGTCCAGGCACTCCTATGACAGCCCTGTATTTATGAAGGGCTTAAAATGCAACTTAGCTGAGAAGGGGCTGGTTAAAACACACCGGGCCCTTGACATATGGCATCCTAACGACTCCGCTCATGTCCAGAGCGCTTCCCACGCGCTTGCCTCACTCAGTCCTGGGCTGGGAATTTCTTCTCAGGACTTTGGGAGCCTGGAAAACTCTGCAGCTCTGCAAATGCAGCCTCATGAAGCATCCCTGAGCTCCCCAGGGTGGAGGAGCCAAGTCCTACACCCAGAGCATCCGATGGGCTCTGCGAACAGCAGACAGGGCCCCTTTTCCCCCCGTTCCTTCCCAAGGGGATGCACGGTTGTCTACAGCGGAGCATGCAGCCCTCTCCTCTCCCTTACCATGGCTGCTGGTAGGATTTATTTTTCATCCTGGTCCTTTCCATCTTGGACTGCTTAGTCCCTCATCATGATGGATCTGAACTTGTAGGACAGATGGATCCCATGAACCCCTTTTTCTCCAGGAACCACATTGAAAAGAAATGAAAGAGCAACTTCCAAGCTCCTGGGGGAAACCACTGTCCCGCGCTCTCCAGAGATGCTGGTGTTTAAATGCCTCCAGCCAAAACACCATTGCGTTCAACTATTGCCGCTGAATTACTCATAGCGGACAGACTGCAGCACATTCGGCCCAGTAACCTGTGCCTCTGATATTGTTTCAGCTGAGTGTAAATCCCCTAAAATAGCCTGTTTCTGTGGGCAAATTCTTCTTTTCTGACTTGCCTTCGAGCCCGAGTGTTTCTGCTTCTCACCTATTTTTAGCCACGACACTGTAGGTCTCTTGGCTGATGAGCCTGCTCATAACTAATTTATTCCTGTCTTCATTCTCCCTGAGTGCTTGGCCACGAGAAAAATGTGAGGCTGTGAGCTGCAGAGGTGGATGGTGGAGAAAAGTCCACGATTTGATGAGGACCTTGTCACCAAGATCCCCCCTGCCCTTGACCACAGGGGACCTGGAGCCCCAGCCAAGCCCCCCACACTGCAGGATGCACCCGGCAGCACAGTCAAAGCGATGCGGAGCTGGCAGGGGATCCTGGACCTCCCTGTTCCAATCTTGTCCCCGTCCCGCAGTCCCCAGCCCTTCAACACCATTATAAATCCTGCAGATGGACCCTAGTGCTTCCTCCCAAAGCAGACAAACCCCTACTGCCCCTACTCATCATGGTTTATGCCCAATTTAGGGGCTCTGCTACCATCAGCAGGCACCTCCGAAGAGCAAGCACCTCACCTAGCATCTGTTTCACCTTCTGGAGATGTCTCCATCCTCCTCCTAACCCGGGTACGACAGTTAATGCAGCCCTGGCAGAGGCAGGGAGTCAGACCCACATCCCTCGCACAAGAAACGGATGCTGTGGTCTGAGCTCAGCGGCTTTCGATGAGCACAGGGAGGGCAAGTAGCCAAACTCACCTGGATTTTGCTCTCCAAGGCTCTGCACAGCCCCATCCATCCACCTGCCTTTCCCCCCCAGCACACCCCAGCGCCGGGACAAGCAATCCAGTGCTCACATTTTGGGTCGCCGCTCCGGGAGGACGATTATTTGCAGAGTGCCTAATGCACTGCTGGCAGCGGACAAGCCGTAAATCACCCTAATGCAGCCACCGACAGACTCTGCTGGGATTTCGGGACACTAAAGGGGAGAATAAATGTGGGGACATGACGGGTCCTGCTCTGGTTTGCTCGGTGCTCAGGTGGCTTTGCGATATTGTAGGGGTGCCCAGCACCCACTGGTGGGGTCCCAGTGCTTTGCCCAAGCCAAACCCACCTCCTGGCCCCAATTAACACCTCCAGCACCCTTCAAGCTGCTAAACAGCCCTGGCCAAGTCCTTCAAGCCTTTTTTGTAGCAAGCAAGGGCTGAGCCTCCCTTCCCTTCCCCATCCCAAATCTTATCAGCTGGGAGCAGGAGCAAGGAGAGAACGAGGGATGGATATGGAGATGGACCCCGGAGGGACATGGAGAAAAGCCCCAAACTGCCCACGTCCCCATCCACCCTCGGAGGGGAGATGCACCCAGGTGGGGTGGGATCCGTGCAAGGGAAGGGCTGTAACTCACCTCCCCTGCCCTGCACGATTTCTTGCCCACGGGAGGGGGGGTCCCAAACCTTCAGCACGTCCCTGCCAGCCCACGACACCCCACAGCCCCCTCACCAGCACGCAGTGGTGTGCTCGGCGCTGTACGTCCCCGCGAAACAGCCGGGGACAGCAGCAGGTGGAGGGGGACATGGCCACGTCCCCAGGAGCGCAGGATTGTCGCGGTAGGATGGGGGACCTGGCGTGCTGTGTGGCTTGGAACATCCTGGCCACGGAGGACACTGGCACCTGCCACGGCGAGGAGCCTCCCCGTGTCCCTAGCCATGCCGGCAACCCCCCCACACACACCCCGCAAATTTGGGGGGACCCCGGCGATGGGGAAACTGAGGCACGGAGCGCAGCCGGGAGGGGAGCAAGGGAAGGCGGGGACGGGACTTACGAGCCCGGGCTCGGCTCTCGGAGGCGAAGAGGAGCAGCAGGCACCGGAGGAGGAAGGCGAGGGGACCCGCCCCGGGAAGCATCGCAGCCCGGCGATCGGCGTCCGGGGGGCTTCGGTCCCGCTGCCCGGCGGTGCCGCTGCCCGACGTCCCGGTGCTGGTCCCGGTGCGGTGGCCGGTGATGTCTCGGTGCCGGGGTTGGGGGCGGGGGGGGGTCTTCGCTCCCGCTGCCGGTGCCCAGCGGTGCCGCGGTCTCGGTCCCGGTGTGGGATGCCTCGGGGACGGGGACGGTGCCCGGGGAGTGCCGGTGCCCGGGGGTGCCCGGGGGTGCCCGGGGGTGCCGCGGTGCCGGTGCCCGGCGGGGCTCGTCTCGCCCCGATCAAAGGCGCCCCCTTTAGGGAAAGC